GATGGCCCCGTCCAACTCTGTGATTCTATGAGAATTCCAAGGAATACCAGGGTTGCTAAGCAGAGGCGGGGAATGGCAAAACACCAGAGAGCCAGTTTGGTGTGGTGCTGAGGATCGCGGAATTTTATGACCCACATGGCCCGGCCCAACGAACTCTCATTTATGTTAGATCAGGCCCTCATAACAAATGAGTTCGACACCCCTGGACTAGAGGGCCTGGATGGCCCCGTCCAACTCTGTGATTCTATGAGAATTCCAAGGAATACCAGGGTTGCTAAGCAGAGGCGGGGAATGGCAAAACACCAGAGAGCCAGTTTGGTGTGGTGCTGAGGATCGCGGAATCTCATCTGGGAGAACCCGGTTTGATTCCCCACTCCTCCACGTGCAGCTGTTGGTGTGACCTTGGGTCAGTCATAAATTGTTTCAGAGCTGTTCTCTCAGGTGCAGTTCTTGGAAGAGCTCTCTCAGCCCCACCTACCTCGCAGAGTGTCTGCTGTGGGGAGGGGAAGGAGAACGAGATCGTAGGCCGTTCCGAGACTCCTTCGGGTAGTGAAGGGCGGGGTATAAATCCAATCTCTTCTCTTCTTTTTCTTCTCTGTCCACCCCTTCCCTTGAGAACCCCAAGGGGCTGCCATAAATTGACTATGACTTGATGGCCCTTTCCACCACCACCACCACCTATAATCTGCCAGTTGCCACCTCTGTTCTCTACATGACCATCCAGGTTGAACCTTGGCCCCTTAGCCAGTTTTCCAAGTACAATCCTGGTTCCAGCAGTAACCAAGCATGTTTCCTTAGGTTCTACCCTGACTGGTCGCCTGGGGTGCTTCACAGGTACAACCTGGTGGAGGGGGGGGGCACTAATTTTTAAACCGAGTGTGCATTGCCCCTTTAGGAAACGAAGGTTTCTGCAGAGACATCATTATCTACCACAAGGTAAGACAGAGGCCGAGAAAATCACCCAAGCGAGGCCATCGCTCAGTAAGTCAAGAGAGGGCTTAGTGTCGGGTCAACATGCCAAACCGATCACTTTGGTTGAAGGACAACATTGGCCAAGTTCAAGATTCGCTCCAGCATTCAACATGATATAATTTGGGACCCGCTGTCTTTTGATCAGGAATGTCTCTGCTTCAGATTAGTGAAACTCTATGTTCTGGTTCCACAGCTGGCTATTGTACTCCATAGCGAGGCCATTCCTGCAAATTCTGTACCCAAAAGGTGCTATTACCCATACAACCTGATCCTATGAAGAAGAAGGAGGAGGAGGAAGAGGAAGAGGAGGAGAAGGAGAGCGGCTTACAAACTCCTTTCCCTTCCCCTCCCCACAACAGACACCCTGTGAGGTAAGCGGGGCTGAGAGAGCTCTGACAGAAACTGTTCTTTCTCAAGAACAGCTCTGCCAGAACTCTGGCTTGCCCAAGGTCACCCAGCAGATACAAGTGGAGGAGTGGGGAATCAAACCCGGTTCTCCCAGATTAGAGTCTGCGCACTTAACCACAACACCACAACACAAAACTGAAGGAAGCCCTGGTGATCTCACTGGGATGCAACTGGATGGTCCTCTATTTAAATAAAGAGATATGCCGCACTGAAATGGTTGTACTCTTATCTAACCATACATAGCCTCACAGCTACTATGTGAACCAGGTGTTCCACAAAATCTGCAGGAACAGCAGGAAGATGGGAAGACAGGTAGACCCCACATAATCTCCAAGAGCAAAAAAAACAAGGGTCAATGTTGCAAATGAGGACTATGGGGGGGGGGGGCCTGTTAGCTTTTGCAAGCAAGGACAGTATTAACAGGATGTTTTCACAGCTTTCACATGAAAAAAAAAGCCTTTAGTATATGATTGATTGATTGCTGGAAATATACGAAAGCTGTCCTTATGTGGCTGGACCTGGCAGAGTGGCAGCGTCAAATGATACAGTATGGCCAAGTATAAAAATTGGTGGGTTATGTGGCACAGCTGGCAACGTAATTTCTTTGTAATTTATAAGGGCACAACATCTGGCCCCTGGCAGCTGGGCTCCCATCTTTTTTTATTTCATCGTCCAGATTTCTCTGCCATGGGGGAAGAAAGACTTTTAGGTTCAGTGCGGGAAATTTTCTCATCTACTCGCCAAGATCAATATGAGAAAAATACTTGAGGGGGCCGGGGGAGATCACAGCGAGACTCAAAAGAGGCTACGAGCAACTGAGCAGTAATTACTAATATAACGTTAGAGAAATCAGATAAAATTGGCCAGCTCAGTCTGCCGTATCAAAAAAAAAGGCTTTTACGGAGCTGGGAAGACCTCTTGGAGAATTCCGCTAGTCTGCAGTGCTTAAAAATGAGAAACGCTCCTTATGTTCGGTGAGGTTCATTTGTTCGTTTATTTAGGATATTTCTAGGCTTATTTCTTTGGTGTCCTGCTTGAGGCAGCTTTGCAATGAAAACAACCTAGCCGTAGAAAAACCAGCTGCCGGGAGCCAATGCCCAGTCCGGTCTCAACCCGGACTGCCCAAGCTGAGGAGAGCAGGGCCCAGACTCACCCATGCGAGGAAGGCCAGGAAACGAAGGTGGCTCAAACTCAGGCAGATTGCTGAGCCAGGCAGATGCAGGAAGGGGCATGGTCAGAAGACAAGGCCAAGCTCAGACTTGGGGAAGGACAGGATGGGAGAGGATAAAATGAGGCAGCCCTGGGCAGCAGGAAGGATAAAAAGCAGAGCCAGGAGACAGACAGACGGGGAAAGAGGCAAGGAAAGACTTCCCTAAGGGGGGACCACCACACCGGGGCGGGGGGGGGGGGGGAGGAGGAGCTCATTAGCATAATAGGCTACAGCCAACAGAAGAAACTCATTAGCATATTAGGTCATGCCCCATGCCTCCCCAATCCTTCCAGAGCCCCCCTGGCCCACCCACCTCGGAGTCACTGAGGGGGTCGCTCTCCAGGCCTTCCCTCTGTAGCCACGCATGCAGAGGTATTGGCTGTAGTGGGCGTGGCCAACTCTGAAGCCAGTCGGAACTCCATTCTTGTGCGTTCCTGCCCAAAAATAGCCCTGATCCCAGGGGATCTCCAGCCACCACCTGGAGGTTGGCAACCTTAGCTACATGCCACAGAGGAGACCTAAGCCTCCAACTGTAGGCCACGATCCAATCACTCCTAAGGTACAAATCTGCTCCTTTGCGCTCAGGCGATAAATGCATCCTGTAATAAGGACTGAACATTTCACGACTAAAAAAATCAGGAGAACTGGACACTCCTGGTGGTGGGCAGTGTTGTCAAGTTGCAGCCAACTTATGGCAGCTCTGTGGTGTTTTCAAGGCTAAAGATGTTCAGAGGTGGTTGCCATTGCCTGCTTCTAAACACACCAGGGATCACTCCACTCTTTAAGCACTATCTCCTTTTTCAACTGGGCAGGGAATTACTTCTCTAAACTAGAAGCTCTGTCCCTTTTTCTGGCCTGAATGGGGGGTGCTCCTTCAGTGATCTCCTCAGTCAGTGCTGAACTGAATTATCTTCAGCAGTCAGTTCCCAGCTCTTTCTTCTCAGCGGACTCTCTCCAATGAAATCTGTTTGAGCAGCCTAGATCGTGATATCTGAAGAAGTGAGCAGTGACTCACGAAAGCTCATCCCCGGCCACAAATTTTGCTAGTCTTTAAGGTGCGGCTGGACTCTGGCTCTTTCCTACCGTTTCAGCAGCCCGTCCTTCAAAGGCTCTGTGAGGCACCTGCTAAATAACACCTGACTTTTTACCTGAAACCTCTTGGCAACTCCACACCCAAGTAGGAACAGGGCTTTGCAGCCTCAATCATTCTCAACAAGTCAGGATGTGTCTAGGTGGAGAACTGGTTTAATTACGGGCCTCATACAAATGTATCCATCACCTAAGGCGAGAGAAACTCTGATAGGAATTAGGGTTGCCAACCTTCAGGTGGGTCCTGAAAATCTCCCAAAATTACAATCTCCATATAACAGAGATCAGCTTTCCCTGAAGAAAATGGCTGCTTTGGAGGTTGCCAACTCTGGATTGGGAAATTCCTGGAGATTAGGGATGCCAGCCTCCAGGTGGGACCTGGAGATCCCCTGGAATGAGAGATCTCCAGACTACAGGGATCAGTTCCCTGGAGAAAATGGATGCTTTGGAGGGCGGACTCTCTGACCTTGTACCCCACTGAGGTCCCTGTCCTCCCCAGGCTCCAACCCCAAATTTTCAGGAGTTTCCCAACCTGGATCTGGCCACCCTACCCCTGCTGGCAACCTTACACAGTGGAGATTTGGAGATCAAGCCTGGGGAAGGTGGGGTTCGGGGAGGGACCTCAGCAAGGCATATTGTCACAGGGGGTCCACCTTCCAAAACAGGTATTTCCTTCAGGGGAACGGTTCTCTGTAGTCCAAAAACCAAATTAGGATATCTCCAGGTCCCACCTGGAGGTTGGCAACCCAAACTATGGTATCACATCACACTGAGGTCCCCTCCTCCGATCCCACCCTTTTCAGGTTCCAACCTCAAATCTCCAGGAATTTCCCAAACTGGAGTTGCGACTCTAAACCCAAGGGAGAGCTATGACCAATCAGAGCCCCTTGCTCTCTTCTGCGCCCCGCCCCGCCGGGCCTCCCTAGTGATTTAAATTCCAAACGAAGAGACCGTTGCTCCACATACAACTATCCACTTTTGTGTACGCATGCGCGTACACTATTCTTTCGTTATTCCTCTTCCCCCTCCCGTTGTGATTGCGTAACGCCAGGAGCAAAAGGCCGGTGGCTGTTGTCTCTCCGGTCTGAAATTCTTAAACAGCGCGCGTGCGCGCGGGGCGGGGTCCCCGCAGCACGTGCGAGTCTAAAGGGGCACGGCGAGAATGTGCAGCTTCGGCTCCTGATTGGCCAAGGCAAGGAGGGAGCGGCGGGGCCCTGACACGCGCCGCCCGGCTGGTCGGCTACGGCGGCTGCGTGGGGTCGCGCGGTGATTGCGCAATCCGCTAAACGGGCCGGGCGAGCGAAAGAGCGAGAGGTGCGCCGCGGGATTCTCGGAGCCCGGAGGAACGAAACGGAGAAGGGCGCTGATCTCGCGCTCTTCCCTCCACGATGCGGGATGGGATGAGGCGGCCTCAGCTGCTGAAGCGATGGCGGCGGCGACGACGACAAGCCGGGTGAGGGACTGTAAGTGAAGGTCCTTTACCGTAATTGCTGTATTGCAGGAACTGTCCTGGGTGCGTCTACCTTAATGACGTTAGTACTGGAGCCACTTACTCTTTGCACGGACTTGCTGGCTTCGGGTGTGAGGTGCCCGGTTGAGAGGCTGGGCAGGCTCTTGTTTCTGCAGATAGGTGTAGTATAGGTAAATACCAAAAAAAAAAAGTGGCCGTGGTACTGTTCTCTCGGGGTGGTCCTATACCTCTTCCTTCTAGGCGAACAGTGCTCAGATGAGATTTAACTTCATCATTAACAATCACAATACTTGACAGGTTGTCTTGGTTTGAAGTCAAAATCGCCTGCAAAAGTAAGTGTAGGATTATTGCCACAGAGACCGATTTATTTGTTCAGTAGATGCAAGAGGTCCAGTTGCTCCCCGTTCTACCACTTCAGATTGTGGGAGTGTTTAAATAGTCCCTTTCCTAAAATAAAGCACCTTCCTTAGATGTGATTTTTCTGCATGACGCAGTTTATTTCTACAGACAGGGAGAATGGGGATTTCCTTATCAGCTGCTCATTATTTGTCCTGTTAGCATCTTGCAGTTGCAACAGACCTCTGCTGTTTGATCTCAGAGTTCTGGATTCAGACTTTGCAGAGTTCCTTGTTTCCTAAGCTCTGAAGTAAGTGCATGAAAGCTTGGTTTAGATGCTGCTGTACTGGACGTCAAACCAATGTGATACCTCTGGTGGGGGGATTCTTTTTGCAGGTAAACTGCAGCAGAGGCCTTGAGGATTATCTATCGTCCTTCACTTTTGCCTTGAAACGCTGCTAAAATGCACCAGAAACTCCTTAAGAGCGCTCATTACATTGAGCTGGGAAGCTACCAATACTGGCCTGTCTTGGTGCCTCGAGGAATCCGCCTGTATACCTATGAACAGATTCCTGTATTCCTTAAGGACAATCCTTACATCACAGATGGCTACAGAGCATATCTGCCTTCCAGGCTGTGTCTGAAAAGGTATGGAGTTGGTCTAGGTGTTGTCTGGAGGTTCAAGCTGTGCTTCAAAGAGGCAAGGGCCAATTATGTTGTACAACTGTTTCCTTGAAAGGAAGATGCATTACTTTAAGTGATATCCATTTCAGTGTTAATCAATTTAGCATGAAGTCTCAATACTAGCTAAGGTATTGAGCTAGATATGTTACTGTGGAAGTGGTCGTGTATCGGTGCAAAGATCCTTGTTGAATCAATCAAAGATTCAGCATCCTGTTGCCATTGGTGGTCTGCCAAATGCAGACACCAAAAAAATAGCAAGAGAGAATCACAGGAAAGAAGTCAAAAACAATACAAAACACCAGGATTGAATTTTACAAATATACTCAGATGTCACCCTTAAAGGTATCTGAAAGTTCCATTCACAATATGCAATCATAGATCACAAGTGCAATAAGAAATACAATGTATATTGCATCATCAGTTTCAGAACCTACAATTCCAAACCACAATCAGATAAGGATCCATGTGGAAGAATTCAAAAGACTTCAAGCAGACCTGCTGCCCTTTTCCAGATGTTACATTCCCATTCAAGGGAGCAGGTTCCGTGAGATGTAATTTTCCATCTATGAGGGAGCTGTTGTGAAACGGAAAATGTATGCACTAGCAAATTCCATTAGATGCATTATTGCTTTTCTATAATCTGGATATTTATGGATACATCAGACATGGAGCATACAACACTTTAAATCTCTTAAGGAAGCATTTGAAGATACCTATGCACAGGTAGTAAAGATGGAACATACAAAACTCATGGCAAATGAGGTTTTGAGTTTGACAGTATCTCGGTTGCATCCGTGCAGTTCTACCTGACTGCCACTTCTGTACAATGCCCTAGACCAAGTTGAAATGATGGGAGGGGCCGCATGGTATAGGAGGCAAATGCATCTTATCCGTAGTGCCAGAACCAGAGTTTCATGTTTCATTCTGGCAGGCTTACTCTCTGAAAATATGGGCGTCAGTTCAAAGTACAGAACCGACAGCCTTTCTTGTCCCCGTAAGGTAAGAGCACTTTCAGACGCAGAAATGGCAGGAGCGTGACTGAACCTGTCACAAAACCCCGTATGTGAGATCTCACTGTAGGGAGGAAGCTGTAAGCAGTCCTCTGAGCACTACCAACTTGCCTTTTCACACCGTGAACACTGTGTTAAAACCAAGGAACAGGGCAGTGAATGTGCCTCATTGGAGAAGCCAGTGGGCAGCAGGCAAGCCAGCAGCCCACTAGCCAAGCATCAGTGCAGAAGGGTCCCACACACAGCAGTGAAGGACAACAGCTGAGTGGCTTGCGTAGGTGGAAGCAGGAAAGTGGTGGCACCTGTAAGACAGTTTGGTGTAGTGGCTAAGTGCGCAGACTCCAATCTGGGAGAACCGGGTTTGATTCCCCACTCCTCCACTTGCAGCTGCTGGATGACCTTGGGCAAGCCATAGTTCTGACAAGAGCTGTTCTTGAAAAAGAGCAGTTTTTGTCAGAGCTCTCTCAGCCCCACCTACCTCACAGGGTGTCTGTGGTGGGGAGGGGAAGGGAAAGGAGTTTGTAAGCTGCTCTGGGACACCTTTGGGTAGTGAAGGGTGGGGTATAAATCCAATCTCCTCCTGCTCCTCTGTAACTAGCTGGGCTGGGCTGCCAGTGGGCAGAGTACATCCAGTGACTTGTCTCCTCCTCCACTTCCCAGCCTGTTCATTTTGTCCAACGAGACGGTCAACATCTGGAGTCACTTGCTGGGCTTCTGCCTCTTCTTCATCTTGGGCATCTATGACATGACTTCTGTGTTGCCTTCAGCGAGTGCCTCTAGAGAAGATTTTGTCATCTGCTCCATTAGTCTCTTCTGCTTCCAGGCAAGTCTCTCCATCAGCTGCAAACCAGTCTTTGGGGTGTATCCGTTCTTGGGTCAGCCGTACAGGCGGTGCCTTCTGCTGACTCCCGAGGTTGGAAGAGCTCTGGAGGTTGGACTCGGTCTGCACCCAGGGGCTGGCGGAGGAGCCGCTTTCAGCCGTCTTCAGCCTGTAGCTCTTGTCCCTCTTTCCTTTCCCCTGGACATGGAGACAGGCAGCATTCCCACCTTTTTCTCTGATATGCGGTGGTGAAAAGGGGATTAAGAGGTTGTAGGGCAAAGACAGATGGCTTGATTCAGCTCCCCAGGTTAAAACCCCACGTTTTTGGTTCAACTGGAAGAGCAAAAGCTTCTTTTGGGGCTTCTGCAGCTTCAGCCGACCTGGACTTTTAAATTAGGGAGGGGAGTGTTTTTGCCTGATAGTGGAGACATATCCAAGGCCATAAGTGTGGTCTCTGGTATCTCCCGTTGATGTGTCTTGGGAGACCCTTGTGCTTCCAAGATGTTTTGATAGCCACCATCTGGCGCTGATACAGAAACCTTGCTTTCTGATTACAAGAGCCACCGGGGGGGGGGGGGGGGATTCTCCAATTGCTCAAAAGTGTCGTTTCATTGCTTGGCTCTTGTGAAACCAGACCTTGAAAAAAAATTAACATGGATTTATTTGAATGTTTTATAGGTCTGTATGCTTTGCTCGGTAGGGTATCACCTTTTCTGTTGCCATCGCTCGGAAAAAACCAGCCGACGGTGGATGGCACTGGATTACGCGGGGATTTCCATCGGTATCCTAGGCTGCTACGTCTCTGGAGTCTTTTATGCATTTTATTGCAATAACGTAAGTTGGCGTTGTGGTTCGTTCATCCTGTTTAACGGGTGAATTTTTTTCCTTTGCTGATTTTCTGCTACCTCAGCTGGTTTTATGGCTGTACAGTTTGGCTAGCAGGGGAGATTTAATTAGGAAACTGGGATTAATTTCAGATGAATAGATTTCGGTCTTGGGGCTGATTACAAGATCAGTTTTCAAACAGTTAGAAACAGCTGGGAGCCACTGTGGTGTAGTGGTTAAGAGTGGCAGATTCTAATCCAGAGAACAGGGTTTGATTCCCCACTTCTCCACATACAGCCAGCTGGGTGACCTGGGATCAGTCACAGTTTTCTCAGAGCTCTCTCAGCCCCACCTACCTCACAGGGTGTCTGTTGTGGGGAGGGGAAGGGAAAGGAAATTGTAAGCCGCTTTGAGACTCCTTAGGGCAGAGGAAAGTGTGATATAAAAACCAACTCTGCTTCTTCTCTTTTGAAAACAAGATTAAATTAACACACAAACAGAACACCAAACAGCCCAATAAGTCCGAAACTACTGTGCCAGTTAAGAACAAGAAGCAGCTGTAGATCTTTTCCCGCAGAACAAAAAGATCTTTATTGGCTCCCAGCTGGGTTTCCAGACAGAACTGAAAGTGTCAGTCTTGATCTGTACAATCAAAGTCCTGGTCTATTTAGGGCTCCTTGAGGCCTGCTGACAGTGGTTTTGCTTTATGGGATTTGATTAGACCTCATATCAGTTGAGCTCTTTATCAGAGGCCCTCCTCCAAGTAGCCGGCTATTCCGAAGTTAGCCACGTGGTTAACAGAGAGAAGGCTTGTTCTCGTGATTCTCCCGTTGTGGAGCTCTTCCCAAGAGTCAGGTTTGCTTTCAAAACTGCACGTCTTCAAATTATCTCTTTAACAGGATTGAAGGGCCTTGAGGTTTTGTTTTTTGTCTATGAAGCTGCTCTTACCTTGCAATAGAGGCCTTTCCCTATTTCCAAACAAGGAAAAAGAACACGTTAAATGGGATCCTTTGTTAATAGCAGGCCATCATATAAGAGCAGCAACTGAAATCGCTAAAATAAATTCTAATGCCCTCCTTAAATTCTATTATTCAAGAGGCGGCCAGTATGTCCCAATGGCCATTGCAGCTTTTAATGCGAAAGTTACTTCCCAATTTTTATATGGGGCTGCGATCTGGATTAAAGAAATTTCTGAATTATCAGATCAGATCCTTCTCCAGTTCCTGCGTAAAATTGCAGGAGTCCCTAAATGTGTCGCAGGGACGGCACTTAGAGAAGAATTCGCACAATGCTCCTTTGAGTCAAGAGCCTGGAAGGCAGCCTTTAAATTGAGACTGAAAGTTCTTTATATGACACCTAATGCTCAAGGAGGTCTTCTTTATCTTTTAAAAGGGGATAATTATAAATGTACGTGGGCAAAACATATAGATAACAAGCTGGAGTGGATTGGTCTCGCCCCTACAATGCTTAATAATTTAAATTATCAAGAAGCGCTAAATTTGATGAGATTGAGGGTGACAAACATTGACCGACTCAGCACTTCAATTCATGCTAGGCGAGTATGCTCCAACTCTGCCTTAGGGATTGTTCCACCTAAGAAAATTCCCTCATATATGAGCTTCCTTACATCCCCTAGATTTAGATATGTCTTCACGCTTGCTAGGTTGAATGTTTTTCCAACTGTAGAGCTAAGTGGCCGTTTTGCTAAAATAGAGTACTCAAATAGATTGTGTGATTGTGGATCAGGTGCAATAGAGACCTTAGATCATCTCATGTTATTTTGCCACCAATGGATTGACCCCAGATCCTGCTGGATTACTCCTATTTTACAAAGATATCACCTCCCTATGGAACCCTGGGTGATAACCATACTATTAGCTGATGAGGACCCTGAAACGACTCGCTTGGTGGCAAAGTATCTTTCGATAGTGCTATTTTTAAAGCGGCTTTGAAATGTTATAAGTACCTTTTGTATACAATTTTAAAATTTTAAAACTAATTTCCATAATATCATGGGATTTTATAGAATTCATTGAAGTTTATAAAATGTGGTCTGATATTACTGATCGAGAGCATATTTGCTAGCTTTTATTGTAAAGACGTTCGGTCTAAATTTTTATCATTTCTTGTAATTATATGTAATGCATTTTATAGTTGCTGTTTGCATGTTTGGCTTAAGACCTCAGGTCAATGAAGCTAATAAATGAAAAATGGTTAATAGCAGGGATTGATACGTTTTTGTTTTAAGTAGCAAGTTGTCTCTTGGAGTGATTGTCTGCTGCTTTAAGCACTGTAAGAGACACACACCTTCACTGCAAAGCATCAGTGAATCCATCAAGTGATTTAAAGCCACTTGTCAACTGCTGGCCTTCCTCCTGGTGCTCCTTTTAAAATAGCGTGTCCAAGACAGTGGAGGTCTAAGCGGTACAGAGAACCACTACCAGGATCCAAAGTATTTATTAAAAAGAAAATGCTTACAAGCATACTTTTAGCGCAGCACCAGGTTGAGCAAGGGATTCAAAGGAAATGGGTAAAACACAATTCCTCTGTCCCTCTCTGTATACATGCCCTATTGGATGTTAAAATATAGGACAGGCTCCTTAGCTTAGAATGTTACAGATCTCTACAGAGTTTCATTACCTTGCAGCTTCCTCCGGCTGTCCAGGCCAGCACATGGTAATGGCCTCCTCCTCCAGACCTCAGCTATGAGTTATTTATTTATTTATTTATTTATTTAATTTGGTTTATACCCCGCCCTCCATGCTAAGGCAGGCTCAGGGCAGCTTACATAAAATTTCATATAAATACCATTAAAACCCATCATAGACAAACAACATAAAATAACATAGCATTCAATTAAAATAATCCTAAACTCTGAAACATGATCTAATAAAAGCAAGAGCAGAAGTTTACATCCAAAATACTACTTAAGATAACAGTGTATTCATGATGGTGTTCATGCCAGCTCGATGTACACAACGTATTGTGCAGCAGGCACAGGCTGAAGATGGAAAGTAGAGAAACTTCTCTTCCGGGAGCTCATTCCACCAGCAGAGTTCTGTCTGCTCTGTTGGACTCAGCACCAAAGAGCCCTTCTTCCTTGCTTCTAGAAGCTTTATCGTCTCCGTTTCCCCTCCCACTTGACCCAGTCCAAGCAGGTCAAGGATGCTTTTCTTGAAGTCTCCAGAAATTTCTTCCAGTTTGAGCCAGTTTGGTGTAGGAGAGCCAGTTTGGTGTAGGAGAGCCAGTTTGGTGTAGGAGAGCCAGTTTGGTGTAGTGGTTAAGTGTACAGAGTCTAATCTGGGAGAACCGGGTTTGATTCCCCACTCCTCCACATGCAGCTGCTGATGTGACCTTGGGTCAGTCAGCTGTCCTTGAAAAAGAGCAGTTTCTGTCAAGAGCTCTTTCAGCCCCACCCACCTCACAGAGTGTCTGTTGTGGGGAGGGGAAGGGAAAGGAGTTTGTAAGCTGCTCTGAGACACCTTTGGGTAGTGAAGGGCGGGGTATAAATCCAATCTCTTCTCTCTTCTTCTCTTCTCCCTGAAGTCTTTCTAATCTTAATTCCTCCAAGTCTCTGTTCCCCACTTGTGGAGGAGCGGGGGGAGAGAGCTTGACCTACCCATTTTCTGTATTGCTCTTCTGTAAGCATTTGTATGAAGGTGGGCTGAGGTAAGTCTAGAAGCAACTGAAACCCCCCCCCCCAATTTTGCTGTATGCCCAGAAAGGGGGGGGGATTTCTAAAACTCAAGAGTGAAGCTTTTTGCTCATTTCAAACCTCCAGCCAAAAAGGCATTTCTTCACAGACCCCACTACTTAGTTCCCTCCATTGAGGTAATTGGCCATTTATTCCTATTCTGAGCTTCCTGTCCTTTAACTAGTTTTTTATCCATAAGGAGACCTGTCCTCTTATCCTATGTCTACGAAGCTTACTCAGGAGTCTCTGGTGAGGTACCTCAGATCCTTTTGAATGTTAGAGTATATAATGTCTGTTGAACAAACATGTAGCTAATAGTGACTCACTTTCTCAGAGAGCTCTCAAAGGTTAGTGGGACAGGTCTTCCCTTTGTGGAAGCCATGCTGATTTTCTCCCAGCAGGCTTTGTTCCACTGTGTGCCTATAATAATTCTGTTTTTGATTACAGTTTCTATTAGCCTATATAACATTGGGCTAACTGTCCTGTAGTTTCCTGGTTCCCCTCTGCACCAATTTAAAAAATTGGTTCAACATTTGCTACTCTCTGGTCTTCTGGTACGGCAGCTGGACAAAGTACATATACTCATTAATAGATTTCAGTCTCACATTCGAGTTTCCTAAGAACTCGCAGGTGTATGCCATCAGGAACTGGAGACTTAACTGGTTTTTAATTTCCCCAGTAGGTCTATAACGTCTTCGCTAGAGCAAAGCCAGTTTGGTGCAGTGGTTAGGAGTGTGGACTCTAATCTGGGAGAACCAGGTTTGATTCCCTGCTCCTCCACATGCAGCTGCTGGTGTGACCTTGTGTCACAACTCAGGTGGGGCATCACCTGACGCTGCCACCACTCTGGTTCCAGGCTCCCTTGAGAAGGGCCAGGCAGAGTACAACAAGGAAAAGGTTTGTTTTATAGGAGGTCAAACAACAAGGTGCAGAATAATAACAGTAAGTGGGTGAATAGAAAAGAAATCAAATGCCCTAACATGTCTAAATACTGTCCCTAGCTCACTATCAGGTGGCCTTAGACTACTCACCCCGTCCTCAGGATGAGGGTCTTTCCCCTGCAGCAGCCTTCCTTCTGGCTCTGCCCTCTGGAAGAAAGAACAGCTCTTCTTGCTGCTCTAGAACTTTTATTCCAAGTCCTCCTCTTTTCCTATTGGTCCATTTTGGCTCCAAACCCTCCCAGGGGCTTCTGGGAGTTGTAGGCCTAGCCTCACCTACTGCTAGCCAGGCTCTCTTGGCCTAGTAGGCCTCTGATGGCACAGCCCAGATCATGACACCTTGGGTTGGTCACACGTTCTCTCAGAGCTGTTCTCTC